TGACAATTACAACGACAAACTGACGTTTCATTCCTCCTAATAAATATATAGATTACAGACAAACGGAAATATTGTCTTCCCTGCTATCGCTCCCTTCATCACAGAAAAATAATAGGCACCCAATACTGATTTTTGAATATTCATTAGAATATAACTTCTAGTCACTCGCAGCTTTTACACAATCATTTAAAATATCAAAACAAACAGATGGGTATACTATATACCCCCCATGTTATCAGACAACAATCCCTGGTTTGTTGTATTAATGCGTGTCTGGTATCATTGTATCATAAAAGTAATCAACCCAAACGAAAAGTAGAACTATTCAGCTTCTAAGTATCACAAACACAACCGACACTTGAACGTTGCGGTTGGTGAGCCTCCTTCAGCACATTGCATAAATCAGCACTATTACCAGTAAAAACAATAATACGCCAAATCACTTAACTGACGTAATACCGTTTCTCTCAACATCACTGTCCGGCCAGTGAAATCAATGACACGTGTGGTCGCTGATGATAAATATAGGCCAGAGATAATCGTACAACTGTTTTAAAAAATGTAATTTGTATTCACCTCCTGGTGACTGTATGGATTTATTATTATCATGTTTATAGTTTTCAGTCACACCCCATATTATGGCGGACTCTGTATAGATCGACAGCTATTGGAAGCTAGGAATGTTACTGCTGGATTTTCTTAGTCGCGGCAACTGAATTCATTCTTCACGCACATCAGGGCGTCAACTGGCAGGACACAGATGTACATTTTTTTGGGGGGGGGGGGGTGGGGGGGGGTCTTGGAGAGACCTCTCTTAAGTGGTTTTGCATATTCTTGTTTGTATATCTAACATCGTCTACTTGTGTTATGTGCCGATGAAGGTTTTCTTGCCACAGCGTCCACTTGCCGTTTTTGATTGTGATTATGTTAGGCTGGCTGGTTCTACTTGTCGTTTAGTTTGGTTATCTTTTCATAGAATCATTCTTTGAGGAGTTTGATAAATTGTGGACGGCTTTTTTTTTTTTTTTTAGCCACTCCAAGAAATACACTGTATACAAAGAGAACAATCGTTGTCATAGCAGGACAACAGAACTCACATACCTAAATGTGACAAGTCTGTAATTTCATCTCCAGACCATCTTTCCCCCCTGTACATAATCATATATAAATACACATATTTCAACATACGATCAGTTATCACAGAGCCACCCTAACGTATGGACACAGACCATGACTCAATATGTTGAAGATTTACAGTGGATGTAACATTAACTGGTTAACTAAAGCAATTTATCCCCGTTTTAAAGTTGAACAAGGAAGACGCAAAGAACAGATTGCACCAGAAAAGATGGACAAATAACATAGTGACTCTATGTATTTTGTACCACCTGGCGAAAGAGCGAGCGAGAGAGAGAGAGAGAGAGAGAGAGAGAGAGAGAGAGAGAGAGAGAGAGAGAGAGAGAGAGAAAGAGAGAGCGAGAGAGAGAGTTATAAATATATACCCAGTGGAGGTGACAGTGTGCCAGTGTCACGCGAGGAAGCTGACTCGAAAAGCTGTGACTCGAAAACCAAATGGCCAGACATTATTCTAAGTAAAGTGGTTCTCGACAGGATAGATTTGCCATCACCAGCACGATGCTTCAGAAATATCAAATGTTGATACATCTAGCCTGCACACCAGACTGCCAGCTCCCTCGTGGAATGACTGATGGCGAAGTGCAACAAGCAAGGGTGCGGAATCCCCTGAACAAGAAAGCTATAAAGATACCCTTGAGACAGTTCTGAATGCCTCCTGTATGAGGCTACTGCCAACTGATGGCGAAGTGCAACAAGCAAGGGTGCGGAATCCCCTGAACAAGAAAGCTATAAAGATACCCTTGAGACAGTTCTGAATGCCTCCTGTATGAGGCTACTGCCAACTGATGGCAAAGTGCAACAAGCAAGGGTGCGGGATCCCCTGAACAAGAAAGCTATAAAGATACTCTTGAGACAGTTCTGAATGCCTCCTGTATGAGGCTACTGCCAACTGATGGCGAAGTGCAACAAGCAAATGTGCGGGATCCCCTGAACAAGTAATCTATACAAATACTCTTCTAAATGCCTCTTGTATGAGGCTTCTGCCAACTGATGGCGTAAACCTCTTCCTCCTGGCGCAGAAAGTGCTTCAGTTCACGGAGCACCGCCTAACAGTAGCACACATGTTTTCTTGGGTTCTGCGGTTGCATATTTAAATCCTCACCGGGGACAGAACTGAGCGAGAAGAGGTGCAATAAATCGGCATGCAGGTACATTTGAGCGTGCCGTGTCTATATTTCAGTTAGATTTTGTTACCTTTAAACTGTCTCTTGCTTGCGTCTGTTGTATGCATATGACAAGACACCGCGTAATACGCCAAGCAGTAAGTTCTGCAAACGGCTGTTTGTGTCTTCTTTGTTCAAAAATAACTGATTCATATTCATGATTAATTTAATTCACCCATGTTGTAATTGAAAGGGAAGGTTAGATTTGTCATAACCTACGATTTCCCAGTTAATTATCAACAAACATTGAAATGTTTAGCTTACACTTGTTGTACTGTTTTTAATACTTATTGTGCTTAAATAGCTGTGTGTGTGTCTTGCCTGTTATGTTGAAATCTCGTTTTATGTTTTAAAATGATAGACATTCCGAAACATTTTGAAAAGGATTCTATAAATCCTTACTTTTCACTTCATGTATTTTGGATGTTTAATTAAACAGTTGTTTGTTAAAAATACCAGTTCATATGTGTATCGTCATTCCCCACCCCTATTTTCCCATGAAAGTGTGCAGCACCTGAGCATTGCTCCAGTCAAGGCCTGCAACACCCAAAAGACGACCCTGGTGTATCTCTCCCAACTGATTTACTCATCATCGAAAAAGTAGACAAGACAAAATTACCTGGCATATTCCGATATCGACACACAATATGAAAACACGAGTGTATAATACAAGCCATATAAAAATGTATACAATAAAGTCATCCGGAAACGATGTAAAACAAAATCATAAAAATAAAACTGTGTAAATATAGAAGATTATCTGTAAAAATATAATAAATAACACACGGAGACTCGATGATTGCTGAAAAAGAAGTGCAGTATAGAGTGGATCTGCATTTGTACATTTATGTTGCATATTTAGTTTGTATTTTATATAGTGTTGAAAAATGAAAAAGCAGGCCCGTAAATAAATGAAAAGATGTAATGATACGACGTGTGTGAGGTATAAGTTCTTATTTGTTTGTTGTTACTTATAATTGTTGAAATTGACAACATAATTGGGACGCCATCAACACCGAAATTTGGCCACGATTTCGTTGTTTGTATACACTCGCGCTCACACACACACACGCACACACACACACACACACACACACACACACACACACACACATCCATGGTGTCACAAAATTCCTTGACTCGACGCTGTGATAGTTGCAGCTACCGAAAACCTTATTTTGATGGTTCAAGGCCCTAAAATCTCATCAAATACGCCGCAAATACTGGAGGAAATAAGGCATGTTAGAGGGTACAAATGAGGCAAACTCAAATTGTATGCAGTTTATTAGTTCTCAAAGGTCACACCACATAGATCCATGCTTCTATGCTGGAATCGAGTCCCGAGTGGGTACAATTAGATTCTAGAAGCTACTCTGGGAGATTGTGGCTACTTTGTGGCGCTGACAGTATTTTCCGTGCAGCGACTTATGTTCAGAATTTTTTTTGCCCTGCACCACATCCTCCGCAGGCCAGGATGGCATTTATGCCAGGCACTTTATATATATATATATATATATATATATATATATATATATATATATATATATATATATATATATATATATATATATATATAATATGAAAAAAAAATCAAAGTTCAAAACTTGTCAAGAACTTCTGAGACACCACATTTACAACACATTCGTGTCCAAAAAAAAAAAAAAATTATTTCACCGACATGGATGCTTTGTTAATTTTTTCTGTCACAACTTTCTTTCACCTAAAGAGCTACTGGCTGGCCAGGATTCACACCATTTTCACGAATAAACAAGTTTGTGATGTTGATTAACACACCATTTGAGGTATTTGATGATCCTATCTTCTGGCATATAGAAACAAAAGTCCCTAGATATTAGAGAGGAAACAAGTCTTTAAAACACCCAAATTAAAAAAAAATATTTATGATATCTTTTCGCAACGCATCAACTAATTAGGTGCCGTTTCCATGATGGAGTGTGGTTGCAGTGGATCGCCACATCTCTCGTAACTCCGCTCTGGACCGACACCCTCTCAGACTGCTGTTCGTTCATTTCTTGATCTTACCCTGTTTGTATAGTTGCCTACCTCTTGCTCGTTTATCTTTAAGTTTAGAAATAAGCGGGGGAAACAAGAGTAGTAAGCGGGAGGGAGAGAAGGAGATATAAGAGAAAATGATCAAGAGGAAGCCAAGGAAAAAAAAAAGAGAATTGACGTAAAGGAGACTAGAAAACAAAAATGACCCTAAGGAAGATTAGAAAGACGAAAGAATATGATCATGAAGTAGACCACGACAAGGAAAGAAAATTGCCATGGGGCTGACTAGGAAAATGATAGGATTTAGTTTGAGAAACCCCAGTAGTAATATAAACAGAACGCCTTTGTGTCGAATCCCAAGGGGTCAACGAAATAAAGTAAGACCAAGCAGACGTGAGAAAAGAAATACAACATTGGGAAGAGTTGCACGCTATTGCAAAGAAGAGTACAACTTGTAACGAGTTGGTCGAGACATCAAAAGCAAAATAAGGCGCTTTCATTAAAAAAAATGGAATATATTCATCGATTCCTTGAGGATTTATAAAAAAGCGACATGCAGACCAGTAAAGGAATGGTTACTTCTCTGGTGTAAATGGTAAATACAGTTCTTTATATTGCAAGTTTCTTTGATTTATTACAATTCTTTTGTCTAAATATGCCAGAAGTTGGAACTATCAATTTCCAGAGTCATAATTTAGACTCTCGTTTGGGACTCCGGCACTGACTTTTCCAGACGGGCGGGATGACGCAAGCGGGTTTCCCACGACGCGGGTGCCACACCAGCATCTGTGCAGAGTTGGCGCAGGGCGGCGTGAGAGCGCAGCGCGGGATCGGCACGTTGTAGTCGAGGATGATCGGCTGGCGAGGCACTGGGTTGCTGACCAAGGTAGCCCGCGTGCCCAGGGGACGCCTGGGATCTATGGCGATCTCTAGCTGCATGCACCAGGAGATCGTCTGCAATTGAAATATGTGTGTGTGTGTGTGTTACATGTTACCCTCAATGTAGTGTTAAATATTCTCTTCTTCCTCCTTCTCCTTTATCCTCTCTTCCTCCCTTCTCTCCCTTTTCTTCTTCTTCTTCTTCTTCTTCTTCTTCTTCTTCTTCTTCTTCTTCTTCTTCTTCTTCTTCTTCTTCTTCTTCTTCTTCTTCTTCTTCTTCTTCTTCTTCTTCTTCTTCTTCTTCTTCTTCTTCTTCTTCTTCTATCAACATTGCATCTCCAATGTATACATTTTGTCACATATTTTCTATTAGACAACTGTGATATATATATATATATATATATATATATATATATATATATATATATATATATATATATATATATATATTGTGCCCTGCCAACTGGCGAGGGCGCTCATGCGTCTCCACGGATCACGAGCCCTGGTTGACTGGAACAGCTCTCTTGATGATATCCCTCCATGTCATCGTTTCAGCCCATCCAGCATCATCTCTCTTGGTCTGCCTCTACCCCTTTTTCCATTGATCTTTCCAGTTATACATACACACACACACATATATATATATATGTGTGTGTGTGTGTGTGTGTGTGTGTGTGTGTGTGTGTGGTATATCCGTCTTTGTATTCTGTCACCCTTTCTACAGCTAATGAGTACATCAAGGAATGGTAAGGCGCATACTTGTTTGTGTTCTAGCGATACAGAGGTGTGTGTGAGTGTGTCCGTGAGAGTGTGTGTGTTAGTGAGTGTTTAATGCTCCCATGGAACGAAGTGGCTTGATTTTTATCTTCAGGTATTATTGACATGTTATCTGCGTATTGGCAGTACAGAAGCAACTAATTGATGTATGTAAATCAGTTTTCTCCCAGATGTGCCATGAAGATATCGGCTAGAATGAGACCCGGTGGGCTATCCCTGACTACTTCGTCATTGTGATGGTAACACTTCTCCCCTTCAGAATATTTCATAGTGGCAGCTCACAGGCAGACATAAACACGTCTGTTTATTGACTACTGCAGCCACGGCCTGAAGGTGTGCTTACTGTTTAATTCAAGATTCTGAAGCACAAACACCAAAGCCACATGTGACCGCATTGATCTCCCCCTCCCCCCCCCCCCCCCCACCCTAATCAAAGAAGATGAAAAACAACATATCCCACTTACCTGCATAACAAATCTCTTCACGGTGACCGGGTAGTTCGTGTTCTTTGGATATTTTTTCCGAGGATGCAGGAGTGTTGGGAAATGAGCAGGTAGACACAATGGCTAGTTCTGCACCAGTGGTTGGTGAATTTATGCAGAAGAAACTTAATATGGTCAAGATCCTTTGAGAGCAAGAGAACAATGCAGAGGCACGAATAGATCATTAAGGTCTGGAGAGAATAACACAGGAGTGATCCGATCGACATTCTACCAAATGAGGAAAGGCACATCGGACATGTTAGAACCAGACAACTACTGGCACCATCGGAATGGGAACTCTTCGCTGGCTGCTGAAGATGAGGGTGGAACGCTTATGGGAATAACCCCGGTGCTGAGATGTAGTTCTGAGCTTAAAACTCAGCCGTGTTAATCTACCTCGAAAGGTTGAAATAAAGATCCTCACGCCACTTACCTGCATAACAAAGCTCTTTATAGTAACCATCTTGATCATCTCCAAGAAGCTACAACACAGATCCCCCGTGATGCCTACACTAGACCCTTCCACTCCACTCTCAGATTAGACAGATAAGACACGTACCTGCATAACGAAACTCTTCATGGTGACCATATTCCAAGCCACAAGCCAAACGTAGAAGCTCTGATCCCGTATTATGTGAGTCAAGTTCGGCTCTAGCTGATGGCGATTGGCTGGATTGCGCCATGTGACATGGGGATGAAAATTATCATTCATATACACGGTGGCAGTCTGATACCTATCGCAGGGCCCCTTGAAGATGACCGTCTCGTTCCTGGAGCCGTACCACGGGTAGTGCCGGCCGTCGCAATCAGAGATCATCGTCTGCTTGCCAGAGGTCAGTTCTGGGAACTCCCAACTGGTGCTGCGATCAACAGAGAGAAGAATATCAGTGGGTGGGAGTAGAGTGTCGTACAAAGGCAGGCAAGACACCCGTCTACCCAAACATACATACACAGGGACGGATTGAGACTTGATGAGGTCCTAAGACATAAAAAGCTAGTGTTCTGTCGTATGGCAGTGAATGTGAGCTAACACATTAAGAACAATTTGGATGCAACCAAGATGTGGTTCTTGTGAATAATGTTACGGATACCTTGGACTATCAGAATAACTATCATTGCCTGGAAATGGCTAATGAAAGTAAAACAATAAATACAACAACGAAAAGGAGACAAACAAATTTCTTTAGTCACGTGATAAGAAAAGGAGCGCTGGGAAATATCGTGACGACTGGAAAGATCACTGGTAAAAGACACAGAGGCAGACCAAGAGAAATGAAGGTGGATGGCGTGTGTTTGATAGTTGGGGTCGGGCAGTGACAGATTACTGACCGTGAAACTGCATAGTGAAATCATAAACATGGTAGGGCTAAGCCTGTAACGTCAAGTAAAGAACAGGCAACTAAATGAACGATCCAGTTCAAACATCACAATTTTCTTCTTTAACCATAAATGTGCTTCTGAAGGAGTTCAAAATTAACAATATTAGCACTACGAGACACATTGAATACCTTCTGATCTCTTAACTCTTTCAGTCCGACTAGCTTTTGCAGCAGTTGCCTAGGAGAACCCATCACTGCGAAATATTAGTAACTATAGAACTTTCAACAAGTCGGGAGGATTGACTTCATTGAACTGATATTTATCACATATGGTTCGGTTTCTCTCAGCAGATTGACCAGCTACCTGCCTAAAGCCTGTCACAAAGCACGAACTTTATAGCGTCAGCGACGATCCCCAGAGATTAGCGCTCATGAACTTAGCGTCGCGTTCGTGAAATGAGCAAACGACTTTAAGAGCGCGATGCAGACTGACTGACCACTATCTCACAGAGATCCCCTTTCTTAGTGTGTTCATATAGTCGAAGATGATGTTCTATAGCCGAAGATGATGTTCTACAGCCGAAGATGATGTTCTATAGTCGAAGATGATGTTCTACAGCCGAAAATGATGTTGTATAGTCGAAGATGATGTTCTACAGCCGAAGATGATGTTCTATAGTCGAAGATGATGTTCTATAGTCGAAGATGATGTTCTATAGTCGAAGATGATGTTCTATAGTCGAAGTTGATGTTCTATAGTCGAAGATGATGTTCTATAGACGAAGGTGATGTTCTTTAGACGAATGATGGGAACACTGTGGACAGATAAAAGGAGTAATGACGATGATTTGAAGGAAATTTACTCAGGAAGAGAACAGACTGCTCACAGAGGCAGGCAATCTTCGTTTTTTGGTCATGTCATCAGGAAGAGAAAACTGGAGTTTATCGTTACGGTGTACAAGCTTGGGTGGAGGGGGGTGGATTGCTGACAGGCAGAGAGAGAGAGAGAGAGAGAGAGAGAGAGAGAGAGAGAGAGAGAGAGAGAGAGAGAGAGAGAGAGAGAGAGAGAGAGAGAGAGAGAACGAGAGAAAGAGAGAGAGAGACAAGAACGCCGAGTCCACCCTGGGAGCCAAGGTCGATTTATAATAATCCGCATCGATAGGCATCGAACCGACAACATTTGGGCTGCCGATCAAGCGTCTAGCACTGTGCTACGGCGACTCCGAAACTCAGATTATGAAATATTTTTGTTGAATCAAATGGACAAACCTAAAGAAAGAAATCGTGCAAGAAATATTTCGCAACACACTTGAACAGCCTTCGTCTTCTTCTACTTTTCTGACCCCCCAATGGAGCATAGGCCCTCAACCAACTCACACCAAGTCGTTCTATCCTTCCCCCATGTCTTCCCCAACTTTCTTCTTCGCTCTCAAGCTCCCTCCTCCTTGGGCCCCCCCCTCCCTCCTTCATTTCTTTGCCCCTGACGGTGTCAGCGCAAAGACAGCTGTTTATATTGTTCTCAGGTTTTCTCAGCGTGTGTCCTATCCAAAGCCAGCGTCTTTTCTCCACTCTGGGTCCACTAGAACTTAGTTAGTCTCCCCCCCCCCCACCCCTCCCCCGCCCCTAATAAAGCAAACAAAAACCAAATATCTGGTGATGATGACTTACAATCCCTCCTTTCCATATGTGTTGTGAAAGGTCATGTCGGTGCACGCCTGAATCCAGCCGACCTTCCATGCCTCGTTGTCCGAGAATGGGGAAATCTCCACCGTGGCACTGGCTCTGCAAGCGGAAACAATAGAGAACAACTCAAACAATTACATGGTCTCCCCGACTTACAACCAAGTTTCGTTCCGACTAACAGGTCATAAGTCGAACTGGTCGTAAATCAAATTTATGTTTGTAAACACTATTTTTGTTTCTTTTAAAAAGGTTATAAAAATTGTACATTAAACACACCAGTACAATATATATATATATATATATATATATATATATATATATATATATATATATATATATATATATATATATATATATATATATACGTAGAATTATTAAACATAATACTCTCGAGGCATCAGTTCTAGGAATTCGTTTCACCCTATCAGTGTAGTTTTTCTTTCTTTCTTTCTTTCTTTCTTTCTTTTTTTCTTTCTTTCTTTCTTTCTTTCTTTCTTTTTCTTTCTTTCTTTCTTTCTTTAATAGGTCGTAAGTCGAGAAGAAGTTTCTGAATATACTACAAACATTCATGAACGTATAACAGAGTGGATGAAAGGGTGTGATAGAATTACTAATGCTGAGCCTTGGGAGGGAACGCAGTTCCAGCGAATCAAGGAGTTAGGAAAAGACGCTGGCGATGGACAGGATACACGGTGAGAAAACCTGATAACAATATAACTAGAAAGGATTTACACTGGAACCCACACGGGCTTAGAAAAAAGACAGACACAAGTTATAAAGATTAGGAGGACATGGGGGTGAGCTGCATGCAATGGCAAAGAATAGAACAACTTTATGTGGGTTGGATGAAAGCCTATGCTCCATTGGGGGGGGGGGGGGGGGATAAAAGGCAGAAAAAGATCTGACCTGCAGGCCTGCAAACTGCTTGAGCTGTTACATTACTGACATCCTATACACATGCGTGTAATAGTCCAGAATAACGAATATGTACAACAGAACTGACTGACTGACTTTCTACCCCACCAGGACATCACACAAGCGATAGACACCCGATGACACAAAGCGCCACCAGGTGGATGAGGATCAACAGTGGAGAGGTCCCAGAAACCGCGTTCAGCCTTTAGGCCATATTAATGGCCGGGCTATATTGCGGCCACTGGCATGAGCCAGAGTAGGGCTTCAAATGCCGAAAAATTGCATCGTAAAAACGACGTCAAGATTGATAAACGGTTTTCGTACAACAGAACTCTTACAGACACGACTTTCTGTTTAACTGCATTACCGATTTTTGTTGTTTACACAATGAATTCTCTGGATTGCCTACAGCGGACACATATATCCTATGGTCTACATATATCATCAGGTTGTTCGATTTACTTGTTGCATTGCTGGCTTCTCTGATAATCTTTAATACTGTATAATGAATGATTAACGGTATTACAATCAAACAAGTACGAGAATTCAAATATCTTTAAAGCATATTTAGAAGCCAGAGTACAGAAGGCAAATGATGTCACCTACCAGTTACTCCCATTGCTAAGACACCCATATGTCTTCCTTTCAGCAACACAACTAATTATTAATAGCATCTTTATCCCCCATTTTCTGTTATCAGTGCCAAACATGGACAATGACTAGAAAATAATTACACGTGACATGTGGTGTCTCAAAGAGGTCTCTAATAACACAAGAAGAGACAGGGTTACGAATACAAGCATTAGAGTAAAGGTTGGAATAAGACCATGTCTGGATTATACTGACAGACAAAGAATGAAATGGTTCAGCCATCTAGTGAGAATGCAGCCCGATAAAACTGCTTATGAGATATTTTACAGCATAAGATCTGTTATGAAGGCGAGAGGAAGACCAAGAAAGAGATGAATAAATGGTGTAGCTGAAACCTACAAAAAGATGAACATATCACCCCAGCCACCCAAGCAGCACAAGACAAATACAGAAAACCACGACACTGGGCTACAACCTGGTGTCAGTGAAACGACAAACCCACGACACTGGGCTACAACTTGGTGTCAGTGAGACGACAAACCCACGACACTGAGCTACAACTTGGTGTCAGTGAAACGACAAACCCACGACACTGAGCTACAACTTGGTGTCAGTGAAACGACAAACCCACGACACTGAGCTACAACTTGGTGTCAGTGAAACGACAAACCCACGACACTGGGCTACAGCTTGGTATCAGCGAAATGACAAAAGAAGACAGAAGAGAAAGATAATGAATGATCTACAACGACGAACAAAGTATTTTTTACAAATACAAAACTCTATTTAACTGTTCGACCTTTCTGATTTTATACGCCAACTAGTGTTGGAACAATTACATGAATTATACATGAGATTCAATGTCCTTGTGTAGACATGATTAGATCATTAGGTATCTTTGATTTGTTAGGAACACCTTACCTAAAATTAGGCGTTCGATATTTTAAAACCGCGGAGGAACTTTCATCAACTTGAGTTGGTTCTTTGTCAATTTTGGCTTCTATTTCCAGAATTCTGATTACAGGGCCGACATTGTCGTTGCTTGCTGAAATGTTCTCATTGCTGTTGTTGTTCTCTTTGTTCAAGGCGCCATTCCAGGCCACAACAGATTCTTGTTCCATTCCATCAGAAGATTGAACGGAACGATTCATTTGAAACCAGTATCGGCCTCCGTGGTTGTGTAGTTTTCCAAGTTATTGCAGCATTTGCTACAGCTGTGTCTGGTCACGAAGGCCTTAGCAATTCTGTTACCATGTGTTGTTGTTTGCGTCACATCTACTCTCTACATCAAAAGTACGCAAGTTTTTTGTATAGCTGTATTTATATATTCAAGAGAGAAAGAACTTCACAAAAACATATTAAAAAAATTGAATTGAGAATCGACATCACAGCATTCCCATAAACGCTTCGTCCCCATCTTCATAAACAAACGCAGGGTCCCACTTCCAATGGTACCAGTAATAGTCTGTATGTCTCGTCCTTCCCTTGAGTTTTGAGCGTCGGCCAGATCTCCTGGTCACTTCTCGCAGAACGATTCTCCCCATATCTAGCTCTGATCTCCTCCTCTTTAGCTTCACAAAAGTAAAACGACGGATCACTCCCGTTCTGTGTTGATAAGCAGACTTCTTTTTGACAAGAGGCATCTCCTGCATTAGCGCTGGATAGAGCTAAGGGTCACAAACTGGAAAGTCTTGAATGGCGCAAGCTGAAGACACAACTGAACATGTGTGCAGGCTTGATAAAATTAGGCGAGCAGTCGAGTGGAAGATCTCGTGGAAGACCAAGGGAAACCCTACGTAGAACTATCATTAGGAAAGGCTCACTCATGGGCCACTCAAACATCCAAGACCTACAACAGATTGCAACGAACCGCCATGCATGGAGAGTCATGACCTCTGCCCTATGTGCCGCACTCGACACAAGAGGAAAGACTAACTAACTAACTAACTAACTAAGTGGAGTGGGTAAAAGTGTCTGTTCGGGTTTCAGACGTGTGTAGGGTTCTAAACACTTTGGGACGAAAGTAGAGGGATTAGCCAGCTGGTGCTGCAGAATCAGAAGTCCAACAAATGAGTCATGAAAATTCCCACCATGTGATGTGATTGTCTAAACAGGGGCAGACGAAGTATATGGGGGTTCATAGCAAAGGCGAATGGACGTCACTTAGTGCAACAAAGCCTGGTATATGATATCACAACGTCTAGTTTAAGAATAGAGGTGGAGGCAGTCAATGTTGCCTTCCGCTGGCTTGAGAATCAGCTATACATACATGCTGTGATTGCAACTGACTCACAGAGCATGTTGAGAAAGGTAGAGACAGGCATGCTCCTTGCAGAGTGGCAAGCATCACTTCAACGGTCCTGAGTAGTGAGCATTATTTGGATATTTTCTAAAGGTTATGCCGGTGTCTTGGAAAATGAGCAGGCAGATAGACTGGCCGGTTCTGCACCACTTGGTGGTGAGCTAATGTATGACAAGATGGATGTTCTTAGAGCCCTTTGGAAGCGAGTGAACAGTGCCGAGGCACAGATAGATCATCACGGTCTGAGGAGAATGGCACTGCAAGGAGTTACCAGGGTATCTGGCCGACGCTCGACATTCAGGGAAAAGGCGCGACGGATATACAATCAGACTGTTACTGGTACCATCGGAATTTCAACTCTTCGCTTGCTGCTGAAGATGAGGACCAAGCGCTTATGGGAGTGTCCTGAATGCTGTGATGTCGATTCCTAATTCAACATTCATGTTCTTTTTGAATGAATCTTGGATGGTACAGGCAATAGTCACGATCAGAACTGCTAGTCCTACTGACAAGACAGGGCAAGGTGAAGAATAGGATACAGTGCCACTCAGCAAAACAGACTTGCACAGAATGATAGTTACCTTGGACCGAGGAAACCGGGAATGGATAGCTGGTGAAACAGAGTCAGCGGTGTAAGAGCTGATCAATGGAAATTTACGCTCAGGTGACATTATAAAAGGTACAGATGGGTCTCTAGTGAGAGGTAAAATGAGTTTGTAGGGTTTTATTGCAAAGGTGAATGGACATTGTTTGAAAACAGAAAGCCTCGCATACATCGACACTACCTCCAGTATGAAAATGACGGTGGGGACAGTAACGGCAGCTTTTCAAAGGCCGGAGAGCAGCACAGTCCCACATGTTGTAACTGTAACAGACTCATGGAGCATGCTTCGGAAAATTGAAACTGCGTTCTGTGGCAAGATTGGCTTGTATATCGTGGATTTTCTGTCTAGGAAATTCAGGTGTGCGAGGTAACGAGCAGTCCGATAGATTAGCTGCTGCCGCTCCACAAGGCGATGAGATACTTTATGATAAAGCGGATGTGGCGAAGATAAAGAATCCATACCTTGAAAGACAGATTCAACGGGGAGTGTGTCGACAGTTTGGAAGGTATTCTACATTGAGGGTGAGAAATAGAGGCGGACTTTTAATCAGGTTGCAACTGGTACTATTACCATGACGACCCTTCGTTGGCTACCCAAAAATGGACGGAGCACATGTGGGAATGTCTCGAGTGAAGTGATGATAGTTCTTCGTTAATTCATCATGAATTTCATGTGTGGGAAGTGATGTATGTAACTTTTTTTTTTTTTTTTTTTTTTGACGTTTAATCAGAATGCTACTGGCACCATGTCTCCAAATGCTGTTACGCCGAGGGCGGGGCTGAGGATAAGCTCTCAGTCTCCATGAAATACCCTTAAGGCATGCGTCTCTCAAAGCCTCTGACAGCAACAGTCCAACTCCTGGCCTTCTCGTGGCGGAGATGTTTAAACTAACAGAAGGGGCGAAAGCGGGTCTCTGGCGCTTTAACCAGACGCTTCGGGTAGATGAGGCTCGTCAGTACGGGAGTGCAGCTCATCTAGGAGAAGGAAAACTCTGATTTCAAACCACGGGCAGATGAGGCTCGCCAGCACGGGAGTGCAGCTCATCTAGGAGAAGGTAAACTCTGACTACACACCTCCACTGCCTTGTGGCCATACACATTTTTGGGAAAGCGCTTCGGGAGTAAACCCTGAGGAAAAATCCGGAGCTGGAATCCCTAAGGCGGTTTAGCATTGTATACAGTGCTATTCCGGCAATTCCTGCAACGTCCTCGGTGCCAAGTTGTACTGGTTTTTGCCTTTCCCTTGGTATCACCGGCGACGTAGAGAGGGAGTACTTGCTGCCTGGGCAACAGTTTGTACTCCAAATCAAAATGCCCTGGCCTGTGCCCTGGAGAGGTCACTCCAGCGATGCTTAACAGTTTCCCTCGCATCGGACTTTACAGTCACAGCAGATGCTGTACCCAAAGCCATCGACACATCTCCATAGTCCCCCAGGACTGGCGGATGCTATTACCATTACTGGCACCATTAGTATCAGAACTCTTCGCTGGCTGCTGAAGATGGGGATCACATCAAATCAACTTTGGTGTTTTTTGTACAAGTCGGTGGTTAGACCAACCCAACTTCCGGTTGTGATGTTGTTATGGTGGACGAGTAGTTGACTATATTTTATTGCCTGAGTCTACGTGTCCTGCTGTCACTTGTCTTGTCGTTGTGCCTTGTATTTCAGTATTTTCTGTTCACACTCATGTAACAACAGGTGAGAGAAATTCAAACTCTAAATATCTGTTTATCGTGGTAGTGTTAATGGTTAAATCAATACAATGTGCAATTTTAAAACAAACCCACTGACTGATTGATTGAATGATGATGATTGAAACTGGATTGGATGACTGGATAATAGTTTTTATATAACAAATTATAAAATAATTTTATTTTAATTTATAAAAACATTTAGTTTAATTATATTCAAGATACATGAAATACATTTAAAGTATTTTTCTAAGGTAAACGTTAAAAGAGTGATCTGCTTGAGTCATTTCCATAATATTTGACTGGCTTGTTGGAATCTGAGTCATGAGATAGAATTAACTAACTCTTACAACCTCAAGCAGTTATTTTGTTACTTTAACTCTTCATTTCCCAAGCAGTTTACTTCTGGACCAGGAACCCAAAGGTTCCATCTCCCAGCTACTGAGTCAAGTGCTTGGTGCAACACTGTGCTGGGGATTTTACATGGCATTTCTTTTTCTGTTGTGTCCGTGATGGCATTATGTTGTGAACTGTACTTAAAATGGTGTTTAGCCGATTATGTTCAGAATATCATTTACATAACGAGTATTGCATGTTGAATTAAGAATCCACATCACAGCACTCAGGACACTCCCATAAGTGCTCAGTCCCCATCTTCAGCATCAAGCGAAGAGTTCCAGTTCTGATAGTACCAGTAACCATCTTATTGTATATTTGTCTTATTCTTTCCCTGAGTGTTGAGGGTTGGCCAGATCCCCTGGTACTCCTCGCAGCGCCATTATTCTTAGACCGTAATGATCTATCTGTGCCTCAGCACTGTTTACTTGCTCTCAAAGGGCAATTACGTAAGCAGTATTGCATGTACAGTGTCAGCTTTCGTAACTAATTGCTTTCGTGAACAGTGAGCTGCAATTCTAGTGTGAGACTGTTAGTGTTGGCAGATCTGATGGCTGCCTTATGCATTTATTTGTACAGAGGCTATATAGGCTACCAGGTGGACCAGTCATACAAAAAAGTACTGTCAAATGTCCTGGGCAGTGAAACTGGGTCACATGATGTTAACAAATCCCCTTCAGACAACAACTGGTTGAACAAAAATATGGGTCTTAAATCTTACACCAGCTGTGTTATTTTATCAGCAGTTTTGAGATTGCTGTTATTAATAAGCTGCAGCAATAGAAGTAATAGTAACAGCAGTAGGAGTAATATTAGTAATTATAGCAAACGCTGTGTCAGAAGTAGTAGCAGCAGTAGCAGCCATGTAAAAAGAATAATTGATTTATTTTTTTCACTTTTATTATTCACCGTCATGTTACAATGATTTTGTATTTTGTGCTGTAATTTTGTTACTACCTTTTTCATTTGTAATGTTTGCTTTCCACTAATTTGTTTTCATATCCTGTGCTTTCATTTCATCATTTTCTTATTGCCTTTTTGTGGAGCATTGTTGCTACCAGTGGACCTAAAGTGAATAAATACAGAGACTATGATCTGGCCATAAGATGATCAGTGAGTTCATCATTGACTTCTTGTGTCATAATATATCATATAAGACTTTACTGGGAAGGTCACGGGTAGTGAACATGCTTTGGATCTTTACTCCAGGCCATGCCGGCGTAGTGGGTAATGAGCAGACAGATTGGCTGGGTGGTGAATTGATACATGAGAAGGCAGATGTTTTTAAGACCTTTTGGTAACAAGCAACGGAATCAGTAGAGAAAGAAGATTATTATTGCCTGGAGTGAATGAGGCACCTGGGTGTAACCAGAGGGTCTGGCCTGCTGACTACCCTCAAAGGAAAGGCAAGACGGACATGTAGCCAGGTTGTGACTGGTACCATCAGTATTGGAACTCTACACTGGCTGCTGAAGATGAGGACGGGGCACACATGGGAATGCCCTGAGTGCTGTGATGTCAATTCTTGACTCAACTCAACATGTCATATAGGACTCACAGTTTACTCCTTGATTCCATTTATCCTGTATTTGAAGGCTGTTATTGTGATTGGTGATTTTGTTTTATTTCTAGACCGAGGCTAGCAGACGGAAAAACAAAACACTTCAGCTAAGGACAAGATGCCGCCAAAGTTTGTACGATTACCAGAAAGCTCTGATCTGTCAAGGTCCCAGGATGCAGAAAGGGTATGTGTCTTATATTGGGTTTGTTTATTATCTTGATCTTATCCAAAAATAATACCTGAAAATAGGGGTGACTGTAGTCTGGCGAGTATCCAGAAATTCATGGAACACAAACTGGGACTAAGAAAGTCACTGAGGGAGGAAGGAACAAACAGAACACACAAGAACAATCCCTGTGTTGTTTCGGGCGCCCTATTTTAGGGGGGAAAAAAGAATAGACCCACTGCCTATCCAAGAGCATGTATGTTAAGAGTCAACTAATTGAGTTTCCTTCGAAGTTGGAATGCCTCTGCCTGAGAGGAGAAGAACCAGTAGTCTGCATACAGATGAGTCAGATAGGTAAAACAGATGCACATGCAATACTGAAGTCCAGAAGTGGATGAACAACCTGAACTTTTTGCCGGAGTCTACAGCTGGTGAACATAAAATAAGAAGAAGAGGACACAGGAACAGTTGGAGGCTTCGACTAAAGTCTTTACCTATTAGTAGCACAAAAAGAAGAAGGAAAAACACTTGCCATTAAAGGCTTTTGTCGAACCTTTTCATTAGAAATATAGCTTCTTCCATTTGTTTTGTCCGCCACCATGAGCTTCTACCTGAAGATTTGACACTCTGAGATCACAAAATCTTAAATCTGGATGGCACACCAGCTGGTGAATCAAAGATACCCTGTTGAACTTCGCATGAAGTTATAATTGCGGGGGGGGGGGGGGGGGGGGGGGGGGGGGGGGTGGGGGGGGGGGGGGGGGGGGGGGGGGGGCAGCAGTAATGGCCACACTGGCCTGGTGCAGTCTGCAGTCCTGGGAGGGTAGGGGGCGGGGGGTGTATTCATTTTCATTAAGATATTCTGGGGCAATAAATAAGGCCTTTAAAATTTAGCAGTTTAATCAATATAAAAATGCGACCAAAAATTATTACTGCCTTTTTCTCATAAATTTTTTCCCCCACAGAGAGGATTGCTGGATGACACTTCTGACAATGAGGACTTCTTCTTAACGTAAGTGAGCTTCATTATCATTCTCATCATCATTGTCACACAGGGGGCTGCATGGTCTCGAAGCATGGTGTCTGCCTCAAGTGCTAGAGGTTCCAGGTTCAAACCCCGGTGAGGGCTGGGATTTTTTCACGTGGACTTGGACTTCTAGTAAATCCTTGACAAAGCCTTGGAAATGCCAAAGTATGTTGAAAAATCATTGACAAACCCTTGAAAATGTCAAATTATGTTGAAAAGTACTTTACAAACCTTTGAAAAAGAACAGTTGTTGAACTTAACTATGAATCTCTGTTAGCTATAAACCTCTGCTAGACTACAAATTTCTGTTAGAACCTTTGCTAGAAGCCAACAGAGGTTCGAAGTCTAGTAGAGGTTTGTAGTCTAGCAAAGGTTTACAGCTAACAGAGTAGCAAGGAAGAATATTAACCTGAGGTTAGACAAACACCAAGTGATGAAAGAAGAGCATCATACATACCTTGGAGTCACACTTGACCGGCAGCTCAGCCTCATGAACCATATTCAAAACATAAGGAATAAGGCATTGAGGTGGTTACAGTTATTAAAGAGACTTGCAGGTACATTATGGGGATCAGACAAGGAAACTCTATCTAGGATATGTTCGCTCTTTGATAGAGTACAACAACTCACTGCTTACAACCTGCTCCAAAACTAACCTAGAGACTCTTGACAGAGTACAAAATAATGCCCTCCGATTAATCTGTGGAGCTATGCAGTCTACACCAACTGCTGCATGTGAAATCCATACAAATGTGGAACCCCTCGGGTTGCGGAGAGAAAAGCCACTTTAAAAATTTATGAAAGATGCGTTAGAAAAAATTGTAACTATCCTAATAGACACCTTGTAGAAAACTGGGAGTACAAACAAAGAATAAAGCAAAAATCGGTTTTGCACTGTGTTAATGAAATTCAGGACAGATACCACCTCCCAGAAAGACGTCAAGGAATTCAGAATGTTGCAAGAAACCTGCCACCACATGCTTGCTTTAAAGCTCCAGAAGTCCAAATTAAATTGGTAGGCGAGGAAACCAAACAGTCCGACCCAATCGCTCTTATGAACTCATCACTAAAGACCGTTTATTCTTACCCCCAAGAATGGATACATGTTTATACTGATGGATCTGCATTTAAAGCTACCATTAAAGCAGGTTACGGAATCTACATAGGTTATCCCGATGGATCTGTTGAAGAGATTTTTGATACATGCGGGGAATTCTGTTCAAATTATGAAGCTGAAATAATTGCACTGGAAACAGCAGTATACCACCTAAAGACTGTAATGGATGTTTGTCCTTCAAAGGCCCAAAATATTGTCATCTTCACAGATTCAATGTCTGCCCTTCAAGCTCTGGAGTGGCCTGGAATCCACTGCATCACTATTCTGATGTTGTACGAGGTAATAAGCTGCAGAACTGACACAGCCAAGAGAATCCTGGATGCTGATCAGCTTATTACCTCATACAACATCAGAATAGTGATGCAGTGGATTCCAGGCCACTCTGGCACACCAAGTAATGACAGAGCTGACAGATTGGCAAAGAAAGGAGCAACACAAAACAACCACCTACAGTGATAACCCTACAGACAGCAAAAACACTTATAAGAGCTATAAACAAAGAGACATGGTTGAACAGATGGGCCATGGGAGACACTGGAAGAGAGGTTTATAGACATCTGGCTGGCCCTGATCCTAATGACAGCATTAACCATCTAACAAGAAGGGACCAGGCCACCATCTTCAGACTTAGAACGCAACATATTCCACTCAATGGACATCTAAACAGAATACAGCCACAACACTCCCCAGAGTGCCAGCTATGTAACTACCCCTATGAAACTGTTGAACACCATCTCTTTGAGTGCCCAAAACTCAGCGAGACTAGAAGAATGCTACTCCCTCCGAGACCAGACAAGTGGAACACCTTGTACGGAGGAGAAGAACAGCTTGTGAAAACATGCAAATTCCACTACATGGCATTGGGCCAAAGGGCGAAAGCTCATGCGCCGCTGGATCGATAACAACAACAAACAAACCTTTGCTAGACTATGAACATCTGTTAGCTATAAACCTCTGCTAGACTATGAACCTGTGCTAGTTATAGACCTGCACATGACAGGCTGTTTTAAGGGTGAATGCAGAAAAGAATAAGAAGCAATTAGCCACATTTACTTCCCAGAACATTCTTTGTGCTCACTGTAGGCTAGGTTCCCTAAGGAGCTCAGGTCATTTATCAGCATCTGCCTCAGTGTAGTCAAAGTCACAGCCACAATTTTATTGCAGTCGGGTCTCCCCATACTTGCTCCGCTCCTGTGCCAGGGCTATTCAAATAAAATGCCTCTCACTCTCACTTAAAAAAAAAAAAAAGAACTGGTAAACGGACAATTAGTCCTGGCACAATCCAGAAATAGGCACATGCAGTAATGCATGTGGCAGTTGCTAGCGGTTGCCACCAGAAATGCAGTTTGTCATTGATGGAAGTAGTCTGTCACGATAAGATGTCCATACACATGTAAAATTATTACATAATGTATTTTGCCAGCACACACGTGAACTGACTACCGGCCATATATAATACTACGACTCAAAGACATTTCACATGAAGAACAGCTCACGCTGCTGCACCAAGCACGTAACTCAATAGCTTAGACAATTAAACTGTAGACCTTCGTCTATTTGCAGAAACTGCTTTAGCAAAGCATTGTCAGAGGCAGAAATAACTTTAAAACATTCTGCTGTGCCTAGTCCTTCATATTGGGCCGGAAGTCTGCCTCAGTGTGGATTAAAAGCCGAAACGTTGAGATAGTCAGGCAAATATCTAGTCATTGTAAAACTGCAGATTGTCAATCTGTGCTACCAGTGCCAGACATGGTCTCACACACACACACACAAAAAAACTGTAAAAGAAAATGAGTAATCCAAAGGTGTCTGAGAAGGCTGCAGGAGCGACTAGAAGAGACCCAGGTAGAAATGAGGTCATAAAAGAAACAGTTGGCACAGAGCCAATTCTAAATTACAACGACAGCCAATAAGATTGTGTGCCCCCCAAGAGAGAATGCTGTGTTGACACCTAACCATACTAGGAATACACACACAAAAAGGAGAAGATTATAGAGCACAAGGTGGAGTAAGAACAGATGGAAAAATAAACTCTACAAAAGCATGATATGTCTGTGGTCAATGTGGCTATAAGAGACAAACATTACATCTCCCAGGACATCTGAAGTGGTAAAAGAGGAAGTCAAGAAGAAGATACGGCAACTTACTCTGTAGGACTAGATCCTACTCTAGTTCCTCAGCCTGTGGTCTTTATGCCATGTTCACAATCAGCTTATACTTCATCTCCAGTTTCCAGGAACTTAGTCTATAATTACTGCTCAGGATGCAGAAACTTACTCTGTAGGACTAGATCCTACTCTAGTTCCTCAGCCTGTGGTCTTTATGCCATGTTCACAATCAGCTTATACTTCATCTCCAGTTTCCAGGAACTTAGTCTATAATTACTGCTCAGGATGCAGAAGTGTTGAACCACACATGATGTGTGTGCCCCAGGTTCCGGGCTGTTACTGCTCAAGATCTGTCTATATATATCTCATCCTAGAAACAGGTTTGGCCAGTGGAAATAAAATTATTTTTTTTCCCTTTAAAGTTGGCATGCATCTGCTTAAGAGGCAAGGAACCAACAGTCTGCACATAAATAGAGAAGATCTGTAAAACTGATCTGCAAGCAAAATTAAAACAGAACCAGAATGTAGAAGATGATGAATAACCAGGACTTTTGCCAGTTTACAGACAGTGATCGCTCAGAAAAACAAGAATTACTGTTTTTTCTACACTACTGTAACATTAGTCTTCAGAGTGTTTTAGTTTCCAGGAGTCAGATATATGAGAGATTGTGTGTATGATTGAATGATTGAGGAACTGGTAGTTGGATAGAATTGAAATGATTGACTCAGATTTTTTGTTCCATAGAGGACCTAAAGTGAATACAGAGAGACTCAGATCTGACCACAAGATGACACAGTGAGTTCTGGGCTATTTTGTCATCATTCATCACTATTATCCTGTTGTGTCATCATGTGTCATATAGGGCTTCCAGTCTACTCCTCCATTCCGTTCTATCCTACACTTAAATATCACGGACAGATTCCAGTCCAACACTTTTGGCTCCTCTCATCAACATTTTTGTGTGTGTGGGTGCCTTTGCCTTCTAAATCCCTTTATTTCCCATTTCCGTGTCTGGTGATTCTCTGCTCGTCTAGTCTCTCTCTCTCTCTCATATCATGTCTGTAGCATTTATTCTATATCTCTGTTCCTTCCCTGCGTTGATTCTGGGCCGGTTGTAGAGGGGTGGGGGTGTTGAGATAGATCCACTGCCCTCTAAAAACCATGTCATAAAAGGCAACTAATTAGGGCTGTTTCCTTCGAAGTTGAGTAGATCTGCCTGAAAGGCGAGGAACCAACAGTCTGCATACAAATAAGCCTAATCTGTAAAAATAGATGTTTTGGAGCAAGATAAAGTCCAGAAGTGGACAAACAACAAACACTTTCTGCCGGAGTTTTGCAGTAAGAAGAAGAGAAAAAGAAAAGTCTGTTAACTCTTTGTTTCTGATTGTATTTCTCTCTTGTGTTCATGTTCCTTATGTCTGTCTCTCTCTTTTCACTCTTCCTGGGTTTTTTTTTTTTCCTGGTCTTTCTGTCATCTTCAGTCTGTCTGAATCCTATTTTAATTCTCTGTTGAACTGTTGTCTCCACTTTATCATGCTCTCAGTTTCTCGGTTTTGTCACTCCATATTTCACTGTCTGTCTTTGCCATTCCTTTTTTTTTTCTGTTCTTGCAACTCTTTGCTTCTTTGCCTGTCTCTTTCTCTTCCATGTCTGCCTGTTTCTCCTTCTATGAGTGCTTTGACGCTTTCTCTCTCTCTCTCTCCCACCCTCCCACCCCCCCCCTCCCCCCCCCCTCTCGCTCTCTCTCTGTTTAATTTGTCACTCTCCATTATATTTTAATCTGTATGATCTTTTGCTAAATTTGCTTGCAGGCTTAAGGGCCAAGTTGATGATGTTGTGGACATTATGAAGTCTAATGTAAACAAGGTCATTGAGAGAGGGGACAGATTAGAGGACTTACAGGACAAGTCAGGTAAGGACATTGTAGGGGACAGTTTTAGGACTTTAGAGCACAAGTCAAATATGGACATTTGAGGGTACAGATTAGAGGACTTACAGGACAAGTCAGGTAAGGGTATTGTAGGGGACAGTTTTAGGACTTAGAGCACAAGTCAGATAAGGACATTTGAGGGTACAGATTAGAGGACTTACAGGGCAAGTCAGGTAAGGGTATTGTAGGAAAGGTTTTATTTAGGACTTACAAGACAAGTTATGCAAGGACATTTGAGGGACTGTAACATCTAAAAGACAAGGTAGGTGAGATTCTAAGAGAAAGCTAGAGGACTTACTAAACAAATCTGAGAAGGGCCATGAGGAAACAAAATTAGAGGTCCTTTAGGGTATCCCACAAAATTATATTTTCAAACCATTTGTTTCAAACACTGATCAGATGTAATCTTTTTGCACAGAGAAACCAAAAAACTGACACTTCCAGTTCTTACTATTTCCTTTAAGATTCATTTTCCCAACTCACTGTTGTTAGATGTCAGTTCAGCTATGGTATGAAGATTATAATGATGTTGAATCTTTGTATCTGTACGAGGTAACCCAGACATAAACTCTAAGTGAGATCAGACATACTGACCATGGGATAAGTCATGGCGACTGAGCTGTATGCTTGGGTAATTCACGGGCCGGCAGGGAGTCAGGGGTGAACGGCGAAATTAAAGAAAAGCCTCACTCAGAGAGTTTCGGGGGAGAATTTTTCAGGGCTTGTCGGCGGTGACATAGTGTAGCAGACAGAGCGTAGCATGTTATCGACAATTGTAGTGACCGTTAGGAATGTGTTTTGGTTAGGTTGTAGTGGTTATTTGTATTGTAGGGTGTTTGATGAAGTTATGCAGTCTTGTAGCATTGTTGTGTGGGTTAGGTTTGTTCAAGTAGATTCCGTTAAAGCAGTTTTTTAAGGTTGTGGCGTTAACATCTGCCCGCACACATTTGGCCATTCACTCTGTGTATGCCTCAGGATCCTTGTGTCGGGGACAGCGACTTTAAACAGTGCTGTATGGGAGTGGTGTGGATTTGTGCCCAGTGCTTATGCACGGGAACGGGAAGGCATGACTAGTGATTTGTAAAGATAGCACGGCCTGCGTTTCAGATAAGGGGCACCTACAGCTCTTGAGGCTAACTGCCATAGGTTTAATGATCTTTGTACATTAAAGATTTTGTGTGTGCTCCACTGACGTTTGGCTTAGTGTGTTTTGGGGTAGACTTATCTGTTATCAGCCTGCAACACGAGCCTTATGTCATGTATAAGAAGATAGGTCGTTGACAGATATAGAGACATGCTCAAAAGTAAAAACAAGAATGGTTTAGAAAGTACAGTAATAGAAAACATTCCTTGACTAACTCACCGAAGGGGACAAGAATGAAGAGGGACACAGGACATTAGAGATACCTTGGGCATGACAGTGCAAATGGCACTGGTGATTGTGACAACTTTCTGCAGTGTACTGCCCCCCCAAACAATCATTTTGTGCAAGGAAGCTAATTAAGGGATTTGGTGACATTTGATGTGTTGGGTCAAAAGGCATAGAGATTGCAGACTAGTTCTAAGCCACAATACAACATGCCAAACATCCTTTTCATTGTAAAAGAAAAAAACAAGAAACTTCACAAACTGGCAAGTTACAAAATGTCCCATTTACTAAAGAGTGTTGTTAATTTACACATTTACAACACTCTTATCACTTTAGCAAACTCAACAAAACTGTCAGTTACACACACTCACACACACACAGAATCTGTCAAGTAAAACAATAGTGAAGTTAGATAAGCACAATAATTTTGTCTCTCGGGGGCCGCGTTAGCACAGTCGATAGAAGGCTCGATTTCAAATCCAGCTGCGGCTCGCTGCAACCCATGGCCAGTGTTCAAAACCAGGTGGTTCCCCTGGGTTCACCCAGCCTCTGGGATATGGGTACCAGAGTTAAAACTCTAGGGTAAATGGAGGAACGTCGCTGTAGCTACGGAGTTGTGTGCGGACGGCAACACAGGTGGACAATTTCTTATCAGCTGTCCGTACTGGTGACAGAGCACTTATGGTTTATAACCGTGTGCAATGACGCTGGTTCACATTTCCCGACTTTTACCTTATAATAACTTTGTGATAAATGAAAGTATGAATTGTTATTCTGCAGAGAGCTTGTCCAGTAACTCGGATATGTTTCGTACAAGGTCGAAATCTTTACACAAAGCCATGTGGTGGAAGAATTGCAGGGTAAATGACTTCTGTAGTTTATTTTCCTTAACATTTTGTAATGGTATTTTTTCCCTTACGTCAATTTGTAGAGCGATTACATTTCTTATCATGCTTTTTCCCCTCCAAAAAATGTAATTGTCTTATCATGTTCTTGCCAGTTGGGCTAATGATCGTGTTCTTGCCAGTTGGGCTAATGATATCGTTTTTGAATACATATTGAAGGGGAATTTAAACTGTGGCCTGGGCTGCCAGGTTGACTCAGCTTAAAATGGCTACCAGGAATTGTTTTAGGAAGTCAAGGTAGCCTATCTGATATTGTCCACATCATGTGGAAGTTAGCAAAAATATGTGACAGGGACTATTAATTGCATCAATGAAACCAAATCTTTCAGTATGGTATAAAAAGAGCAATACTTGACATATAAATAACGTAAGCACAGCCAAACCACAGGAAGCACAAAGACGGACAGACAAAAAGAAACCCTCATCAATATCAACATAAAAGACCCAGGCATACATAAAACAACCTTAAGGACACTAAGCCATTAACTAGAGCACAAAATACCTAATAGCAGCCATTAAACTGGGCACAATAAAATCAGGCCACAACTCTAACCAAAAGATCCTTAGGAGCTGGTTGAGCATGGTCACATTATTGTGTTTTTTTTTTTTTTCTTTAATCAGTGTTTCGATATAATGTGCCCTGTATACCTCAAGAAAGGGAGAAGGGGTCCATCACTTTCATTGTGTTTCTGCCGAGGTACAGTCGACCACATCGGCCCATCCACAGATGCTCCTGAAGCAGGATAGATACGCAGTAGAATCATAACTCAGTTTGCAGTTTTGTCATATGGGAAGGTTTGGCAGAATGTGATCATTTGAAGCATTATGTGTGTTTCTCTCTACTCTGCTGCACTCTCCTCTCTCCCTACCGCCACCCCCACCTCTCTACTCTGCTGCACTCTCCTCTCTCCCTACCGCCACCCCACCTCTCTACTCTGCTGCACTCTCCTCTCTCCCTACCGCCACCCCCACCTCTCTACTCTGCTGCACTCTCCTCTCTCCCTACCATCACCCCCCTCTCTACTCTGCTGCACTCTCCTCTCTCCCTACCGCCACCCCCACCTCTCTACTCTGCTGCACTCTCCTCTCTCCCTACCGCCACCCCCCACCTCTCTACTCTGCTGCACTCTCCTCTCTCCCTACCATCACCCCCCCTCTCTACTCTGCTGCACTCTCCTCTCTCCCTACCGCCACCCCCACCTCTCTACTCTGCTGCACTCTCCTCTCTCCCCCTACCGCCACCCCCACCTCTCTACTCTGCTGCACTCTCCTCTCTCCCTACCGCCACCCCCACCTCTCTACTCTGCTGCAATCTCCTCTCTCCCTACCGCCACCCCCACCTCTCTACTCTGCTGCACTCTCCTCTCTCCCTACCGCCACCCCCACCTCTCTACTCTGCTGCACTCTCCTCTCTCCCTACCGCCACCCCCCACCTCTCTACTCTGCTGCACTCTCCTCTCTCCCTACCATCACCCCCACCTCTCTACTCTGCTGCACTCTCCTCTCTCCCTACCGCCACCCCCACCTCTCTACTCTGCTGCACTCTCCTCTCTCCCTACCGCCACCCCCACCTCTCTACTCTGCTGCACTCTCCTCTCTCCCTACCATCACCCCCACCTCTCTACTCTGCTGCACTCTCCTCTCTCCCTACCGCCACCCCCACCTCTCTACTCTGCTGCACTCTCCTCTCTCCCTACCGCCACCCCCACCTCTCTACTCTGCTGCACTCTCCTCTCTCCCTACCGCCACCCCCACCTCTCTACTCTCCTGCACTCTCCTCTCTCCCTACCGCCACCCCCACCTCTCTACTCTGCTGCACTCTCCTCTCTCCCTACCGCCACCCCCACCTCTCTACTCTGCTGCACTCTCCTCTCTCCCTACCGCCACCCCACCTCTCTACTCTGCTGCACTCTCCTCTCTCCCTACCGCCACCCCACCTCTCTACTCTGCTGCACTCTCCTCTCTCCCTACTGCCACCCCACCTCTCTACTCTGCTGCACTCTCCTCTCTCCCTACCATCACCCCCACCTCTCTACTCTGCTGCACTCTCCTCTCTCTCCTACCGCCACCCCCACCTCTCTACTCTGCTGCACTCTCCTCTCTCCCTACCATCACCCCCCACCTCTCTACTCTGCTGCACTCTCCTCTCTCCCTACCGCCACCCCCCACCTCTCTACTCTGCTGCACTCTCCTCTCTCCCTACCGCCACCCCCACCTCTCTACTCTGCTGCACTCTCCTCTCTCCCTACCGCCACCCCCACCTCTCTACTCTCCTGCACTCTCCTCTCTCCCTACCGCCACCCCCACCTCTCTACTCTGCTGCACTCTCCTCTCTCCCTACCGCCACCCCCACCTCTCTACTCTGCTGCACTCTCCTCTCTCCCTACCGCCACCCCCACCTCTCTACTCTGCTGCACTCTCCTCTCTCCCTACCGCCACCCCACCTCTCTACTCTGCTGCACTCTCCTCTCTCCCTACCGCCACCCCACCTCTCTACTCTGCTGCACTCTCCTCTCTCCCTACTGCCACCCCACCTCTCTACTCTGCTGCACTCTCCTCTCTCCCTACCGCCACCCCACCTCTCTACTCTGCTGCACTCTCCTCTCTCCCTACTGCCACCCCCACCTCTCTACTCTGCTGCACTCTCCTCTCTCCCTACCGCCACCCCACCTCTCTACTCTGCTGCACTCTCCTCTCTCCCTACTGCCACCCCACCTCTCTACTCTGCTGCACTCTCCTCTCTTCCTACCGCCACCCCACCTCTCTACTCTGCTGCACTCTCCTCTCTCCCTACTGCCACCCCACCTCTCTACTCTGCTGCACTCTCCTCTCTCCCTACCGCCACCCCACCTCTCTACTCTGCTGCACTCTCCTCTCTCCCTACCGCCACCCCACCTCTCTACTCTGCTGCACTCTCCTCTCTCCCTACTGCCACCCCACCTCTCTACTCTGCTGCACTCTCCTCTCTCCCTACCGCCACCCCACCTCTCTACTCTGCTGCACTCTCCTCTCTCCCTACTGCCACCCCCACCTCTCTACTCTGCTGCACTCTCCTCTCTCCCTACCGCCACCCCACCTCTCTACTCTGCTGCACTCTCCTCTCTCCCTACTGCCACCCCACCTCTCTACTCTGCTGCACTCTCCTCTCTCCCTACCGCCACCCCACCTCTACTCTGCTGCACTCTCCTCTCTCCCTACTGCCACCCCCACCTCTCTACTCTGCTGCACTCTCCTCTCTCCCTACCGCCACCCCACCTCTCTACTCTGCTGCACTCTCCTCTCTCCCTACTGCCACCCCACCTCTCTACTCTGCTGCACTCTCCTCTCTTCCTACCGCCACCCCACCTCTCTACTCTGCTGCACTCTCCTCTCTCCCTACTGCCACCCCACCTCTCTACTCTGCTGCACTCTCCTCTCTCCCTACCGCCACCCCACCTCTCTACTCTGCTGCACTCTCCTCTCTCCCTACCGCCACCCCACCTCTCTACTCTGCTGCACTCTCCTCTCTCCCTACTGCCACCCCACCTCTCTACTCTGCTGCACTCTCCTCTCTCCCTACCGCCACCCCACCTCTCTACTCTGCTGCACTCTCCTCTCTCCCTACTGCCACCCCCACCTCTCTACTCTGCTGCACTCTCCTCTCTCCCTACCGCCACCCCACCTCTCTACTCTGCTGCACTCTCCTCTCTCCCTACCGCCACCCCACCTCTCTACTCTGCTGCACTCTCCTCTCTCCCTACCGCCACCCCACCTCTCTACTCTGCTGCACTCTCCTCTCTCCCTACCGCCACCCCACCTCTCTACTCTGCTGCACTCTCCTCTCTCCCTACCGCCACCCCACCTCTCTACTCTGCTGCACTCTCCTCTCTCCCTACCGCCACCCCACCTCTCTACTCTGCTGCACTCTCCTCTCTCACTACTGCCACCCCCACCTCTCTACTCTGCTGCACTCTCCTCTCTCCCTACTGCCACCCCCACCTCTCTACTCTGCTGCACTCTCCTCTCTCCCTACTGCCACCCCCACCTTCCTTCTCTGTTTCCCTCTATTATATTTATTTTATATAAATTGTGTTTCATTCTGTTGACAGATGAAGCTAATATTGGCTCTTGTTCTGGCTGTGATCATTGCAATTATCATCAGTAAGTTCTTTGTTGTTTTTTTGGTAGCAATTTTTGTGGGGTTCTAACTGTGCTGTTTTATGTAATGGATATACAAGTTATGTAAGAAAGGAGGTGTGGATCAAACAAACAGGGATATATGAGAGGAAGAGCAGTTTATAATCAGTGTGCTCAGGGAGCAGTTACCATCTACACACACCTTAAGATATTTGCTGCGAGAGACCAAGCACATAAATATGTGCTGTGATGTCACTTCTTAAATCAATAAATATTTTTCATATATTGATAAGTACTAAATTACATTCATAGAATCGTAAAGTTGATCACCATTATTAAATAAGAATTGAATTCAACGCTAGATAGCAAAGATGATATCAGTTTTAAACCAGGCTATGTTTGCTCTGACTTAGAGTGTATCAAGGCACAACACACCAACATTAGTATCTGACATGAGGGATGACTTGACCTTTGGGGTTACAGAAGGAATACCATTTAAGTTAAATAGTTGTTCAGGTTTGAGTATGTGATTGTTGTAGTGATTTAAGTGTGTAGAGGAGACAATATGTGAGTGTTGTATTATTTTAGATGTGTGGGGGAAGAGTGTTTTATTGATATGTAGAGGAGGTAATATGTACGTGTTATAATGATTCATATCTCCAGAAGAGGGAGTGTGGAGTTTTATAGTAGTTAGGATGTGTTGAAGTATGGTGTTTCATATGTGTAGAGGAGATAATATATGTCTTTTAGTGGTTCAGGTGTGTAGAAGAGATAATATATGTGTGTTATAATGATTCAGGTGTGTAGAAGAGATAATATATGTGTGTTATAATGATTCAGATGTGTAGAAAAAGTATGTGTGTTGTAGTGATTCAGATGTGTAAAAGAGGTCACGTATGAGTGTCATAGTGATTCAGGTGTGTAGAAGAGGTAACGCATGAGTGTTATAGTGATTCAGGTGTGTAGAAGAGGTAACGCATGAGTGTTATAGTGATTCAGGTGTGTAGAAGAGGTAACGCATGAGTGTTATAGTGATTCAGGTGTGTAGAAGAGGTAACGCATGAGTGTTATAGTGATTCAGGTAGAAAAGGTCATGTATGAGTGTTATAGTGATTTAAGTGTGTAGAAGAGATAATATATGAGTGTTATAATGATTCGGATGTGTAAAAGAGGAAATGTGTGAGTGTAATAGTGATTCAGGTGTGTAGAGGAAATAATGTTTGAGTGTTATAGTGATTCAGATGTGTAGAGAGATTATATGTCAGTGTTATAGTGATTCAAATGTAGTGTAGAGGAGGTAATGTGTGGGTGTTATAGTGTTTCATATGTAGTGTAGAAGATGTAGTGTATGAGTGTTATAGTGATTCAGGTTAATGATTAAAAAGTGATAAAAGGAAGTTGGCGGGGGGGGGGGGATCTAACCCATTAATCAATCCAGACACGTCTTTGGCAATTCAAGTTCTACTTTTCCTTACAGTTTACCTGGCAGTCCATTTCTCCAAGAAATCCTAGAATGACGGACACGTTTCTGATTGAAAACGCCAACGTTGGATAAACAAAAGAGAAGACCTGATGATGTGCCATTTGTGATGTCGAGGATATACACGGGGGGAAAAAACAGCGGTATCACCTTCTGGATTGATTGTTTTGTTGTTTCTTTAGCTGTCTAATGAGAACCGGAAACTATTGTTAAAGTGAAATAAAACTGTTTGAATTATGTTTTAATGGATACTTTTATTTAAAATGTGTGACAGAAACATGTATTTATTCTCACATCATGAGAAAAGAAAAACTAGAATATGTTGTAACAGTGAATAAAGTTAATAGAAAAAGAGCTTGTCGTGCATAATTTTACCACCTGGCGGTGCAGAACAAGCCGATCTATTTGCCTGTTTGTTTCCCCAACACCCCGGCATTCCCTGGAAGAAATAACAAAAGAATGCTAACTACCCAGGACTTCTGAAGTAATGCTTGCCACTCTGCCCATAGCATACCTATCTCCACATCTGTCAACATGCTTTGTGAGTAAGTAGCAGATTTTTATATTGTAGTATGCATATAATGTATGGTGCTAACGACTGGGGCTATGGGAAAAATGTAGTCACATTTTCTGGTTGATAGAACACCTGTTGGTAATTTTGACGATTGTAGTAAACCTTGTAATGTAAACACATTTTAATAACCAATTAGAAATACATATACATATATGAACATCCAATGAAACTGGCTCATGAACTCTATTTGATCTTGGAAACTAAAATGCTTCGCCCGTATTAAACACCACAATATTTGAGGAAGCTGAAGCCATGTTACAAACCTTTGAGAACAATCTTTGGACAAATCTTTGGACAAATCTTTGGACCCATTATAGGTACAAAGTGTGAAGAGTGAGAAGCAACAAGGAAATTCACAGTCTATATTACTACTGATTCCTGGCATCATGAGGAATAATAGACTGAATTGGTTGAGGCATATAGAGAGAATGGCAGACAACAGAGAGGCAAAAACTGCACACACAGAAGAGTTGAATGAGAGTAGACCAAGGAGATAGTGGAGAGATATACAGACAGACCTACAAACATTTGGGTGTCACCAGCTGGACAGAGACGGCTAGTTACAGAAATGAGCAGTGTTGGGTTTGTCTGTGGTAGTAATGAACCACAAGGGCTCAAAATGATAAAGAAGAAGAATGGTTATGAAAATTCTGTAATAGAACACATGCAATATAATTCAATGAAACTGGACAGAATAAAGATGGACACATGATTGTGGAGATACCTTGGGCATGGCGTGTAGCAGTGGAATTGGCAAACAGTTTAGAAACGCTTTCTGACAGACTATGTTGGTCATGGCTTTCTGCAAAGGAACTTCTACAAGATGATGGCGGTGAAAGATATCTTCAGCTTCTCATGCCTTTAAACTTCTTCTGTTGCAAGCGCTAGCTGTTTCTGGGTCTATCACTCCAGCTGACTACACTCATTGTTCCATTTACCTGGACTCCCTCACAATATCTCTAAAGAAAAGGACACTTATTTCCATCTACAAACAGTATCCTGTCCTGAAAGCTGATCCGTTTTGGCCATATTGAATGTTGTGACCTGGAGTAAACGGGAATGGGGGTGCAGTTTCCCGGAAAAGAGGCAGAGGCTGACCACAGCGAAGATGGATACAACAATTAAAGATGCATAGGCTATGAAAGCACACAGGGCTGGAGCACTGGTTAGAGACAGCCAGACTTTGAGGCGTGCCGTGACGAGCGTGACATTCTGTAAAGGACCTGCTGAAGGATGATGATGATGATGAGAAATAACATTGGGCTGCAGGTTAACTCTCGCAGTCCCAGTGTTACTTTAGCTGAATCTTTTCTATGCAGCTGTTAATGTAAACTAATAAATGTTTAAATGTAGTTATGATAATAACATTATGAGACTGATGTGGTTAAATTAACAAATGGGATATAAAGAGTTAATGTAACACATTGTTAAACTACAGAGAGTTAAGTTTTAGGCTATACTGGAAATAACCCATAAGCATATAGTGTGTTTATTGGTACTGAATGAGTTACATGGTATCCATTTGTGTCCCAGTAAAGCTTTTATATGGTTGAATGGAGTTCTGCGACTTGCTGCGGTTAGTTTCTTATCTGTGAAGTGTTGTTTCTGTAGAATACAGTCCTGGAAGGGGCAAAGTGAAAACAGTTGCCTTTTGTTTCTTCTAAATGCCAGGTAATTGCCGACAACATTAGCAGTTTATTATGCCAGATAGTTTTTTTATTTTCTACAGCTTCTTGATTTCATTTCGAAAGGGGGATTCAGCTTTGGTTATTGAATTGTATGAGGATTTAATTATGTATTATTCTTATACATTTTTTATTAGATTTTGTTTTGTTGTAAATTAAATCCCAAAGAGCAAATGTGTAAGATGTGACATATTTACATCATAAGAGGAAAGAAAAGAAGAATGTTATACATTTATTAATAACTGAGCTGATGTTTCTGTTATTGGTTACTTTCAGAATAAATTGTCATATTTGTTCCATGCATAACACAATTTTATGGAGGGGGGGGGGGGCTGCATGGTGTCAGCCTTGAGTGCTAGAGGTCCCAGGTTCAAACCCCGATGAAGGCTGGGATTTTTTCATATGGACTTATAGTAATTTCCTCTGGTCTCTCTGTAGTAAGACAGGGTGCCCGTGTGTATTGTTGCGCATGTAAAAAAAAATCCCTTGGCAGTTGGAAATCGAAAAGAGTAGTCTAACGGCGCTGCCCGGGCACAATTTAGAGTTACAAATCTACCCAAAAGTATTTTAGGATCCTCGCAAGTGCAACAGAGTTCGTGCACTGCGCTGAGATTCTTCAGACTCAGGCTCAAGTTAGAAGAAGAGCGGAGCACTTATGGGTTACACCCATGTGCCATGATGTTGATCCGTGAAATAAACATAAACGGTATGTTTTCCCAAAGTTTTTTGGTTCAAAATGGAGGATTGTCTTGTTCATGGGATGTGTTTAAAATATAAATGTCTCTGTTTTAGGCTTTTAAAAAAAAGGAGGTCGTCTTATACATAGGGGAATCTTGTACCTAGACAAATATGGTTTGCACACTACTTGGCTCATATTTGCTAATGGGAGCTGCTCTGTAGAAGTTGGTGTCCATGTATAACATAACTGAAGAAAAGTTATGATGACTTAAAGAATATTTTGAAAGACTGAACTGCAACTCTTCATGTCCAATATAGTTATGATGACTTAAAGAATATTTTGAAAGACTGAACTGCAACTCTTCATGTCCAATATAGTTATGATGACTTAAAGAATATTTTGAAAGACTGAACTGCAACTCTTTATGTCCAGTGCAATAATGTTTAGTAGTTCAAGTCTTTGCAGAAAGGTTAATGTGGAGTCTTTTTCTCCCAACCTGGTACTAAAATCCCATCTTCACAGTGATTGTGTAACACAGTTGGCCTTCTCCTCTCCAATCTCACAAACTACTAGTTTGATGTGCGAGAGCAGAGAGGCGAATAATGTTCCTGATAATCTTCATTCCTTTGGCAAGGACGACTCTGGTGGATGGCAGATGGACAGAGGATGCATGAAAGACCTAAGGAAAACTGGAGAAGGAAAGTAGAATAGGAAATAAAGCATTATAAACTAACATGGGATACCATGGGCAAAAAAGCAGCAGTGGAGATCACTTATGAATGCATTATGCGCCCATTCAGGCTTGAAGGGAATATTGATATAGATAAATAGAAGCTTTGTTTATTCTGTAGGAAACAGCCGATGGTGCCTGGAATTTTGACCAAATATTTTAAGTTGTTTGAATTTAATTTATGGGGGGGGGGGGGGGGGCCATAGATGATAGTGCACTAACTGTTGGGCTAGCAGTTCTTGGTTCAAATCCCTTCATACTCAATCACTCCAGGGATGTTCCACCAGCGTAAAATGTATGGCAGATGTTGTGGTACCAGCCATGTAACCAGTGAAGAGTTGTTTGAAATATCCAGTCTGGTAATGAAATGATGAGACTGCTTGTATTATTGCCAATAGAAAAACACCAGCCATGAAGCAATGCATGTAATCCAAAAAGGCGCTATTCATCTACAATTTGGCCAAACTGTAAAACCGCCCGGTCAGCATACAGCGGGTAACCAACCAGTTACCTAGTGACAGTTGCATGGTTACATTTACAGCATGGAGTAAATAAGGGAAAGTATCCTGTGACAGTTCTTCTTTGATGTCAGAAAACATATTAGGAGGCCCGTAGCCTGAATGAAAAATGTAATGAATTCCAAATCTCCTTGTGTAATATATAACTCATTCATTTCTTTGAGGTTTGCATATGCCAAATTGCTTCTCTGTTAACAGCATACAGTTGACGATGTTGGAGCATATGCTCAGAATTTTCTGGTGCCAAGTTGGAGAGGACGATTTCGGTGTTTCCTACTCTGAAAAATGTGAACAAATGTTGACGAAGTCTCTTGTGCCTTGTCCTGAGTCTGAATATAATACACTGTCCCTCTTTAGAGATGAAGTGAGACTTGAAGAAAGAATTTGGTGTGTGTATCCAGCCACCTTTCAGGTTACTAGAATGAAATAATGCCTTAGTCTCTTATCTCTGGATGGGTTCAGTCAGTATTTGATTGCACCATGTCAGTGCAGCCTCTGGCCAGTATGTCCACTGTTTCATTGCTTTCCAAACCATAATGACCTGGATTCCACTGAAGGACATATTGTTCTACTGAAGAGTCTAAGTGAATCAGCTGTTGTCTTTTGGGTTAACAGTTGCTTGTAGAGGGACAGTTCAGTTGATGAAACAGCTTAGTTGATCAAACTCAGCCTGCCAGCCAATCATTATCTCCGTGTATCCATTCTCTGATTTTGGCTTTGGGTTCAGCATTACAAGCAGAAAGTGGACACCCTGGCCTAGCTTCATCTTTCACCGCTTCCACAAAATTTTCAATTATAAATACCACCTGAGTATATGGGCACGGGATCCTCATAAACTATTCTGGT